ATCATTTTGTGATCAGATTTTTATACCTACAAATCGAAATTTTCAGTCATGAAAAGCTGTTGTAGATGGAATACCCCTGCACGACGATTTCCATTTTCGAATTAGGAAATGAATGTCTTTTTCTAAAAGCAGCAGCTAATCGGAATTTTCAACCACTAGAAAAGAAAATTAAAAAATTTTATATTTATTCAAGATGCCTATTTATTATAAAAATAAATATGGGAAGAGTCATGAAAACGTTTCAATATTCCCAAAAATTACATTTACGGTTTTAAAAGAAAAATATTGCGTTAATAAAGGCAATCTATTATTTTCGCAATACAAACTCTTAACTTTCTTTTATTAAAAAAGATTCACTCTAAGTATGTTTAAACAATATATATTGATATTATAATATTAAAACCAACTGTTGTTATTGCAGTATAACTACAGCAGTATCTTTAAAAATAATAATTTCCTTATGATTCTATGATATTTAAATATTTTTATACTTACAGGTCAAAATATTTAGTTATGAAAAATTTTCCTGGATACGAAACTTTTCCATTATGTTTTCCATTTCCAAATAGAACCTATCTAAAAAAAAAAAGAAAATGATGAATTGTTGTTTTATAAACTAAGGTACTCTAAAAGTAAATTTTGTAAAAGTTTCAATATTTATTAGGTTTACCTCACTTCACCTCAACTCAAACAAATTCAAATTGTATGTTATTGTTGATTATTAGTATAATTAGAAAAGTACAACTAATTGTCAGATTTAAAAAGAAGTGACTTGTTGTTATTGCAGTATTAAAAGAGAGTGTAGCAATTTCAAAATAATTAAGTGTAGAACATATTTAATCATTTTGTGAACAGATTTTTATACTTACAGATCGAAATTTTCGGTCATGAAAAGTTCTTCTAGATGCAATACCCCTATATGAGGATTTCCATTTCCGAATTAGGAAATGATGTCTTTTTCTAAAAGCAGCAGCTAATCGGAATTTTCAACCACTAGAAAAGAAAATTAAAAAATTTTATATTTATCCGAAAAATCATGAAAACGTTTCAATGTTCCCAAAAATTACATTTATGGTTTAAGAAAATAATAAATAATATTGCGTTAAGAAAAGCATATGAAAAGCAAATGAAGAAGTATTGGAAAGAATAGGAGAACAGAGGACTCTGTGGAAGTCAATAAAAAATAGGCGAGATAGGTTGGTAGGACACCTTCTTAGGCATAAAGGTCTAGTCAGAGACATATTAGAGGCAGTAACAGGAGTTAGGAGGGGTAGAGGTAGACCTAGATTAGATTAC